GCTAGGGGAATAGTATAGTAAGAGAGGAGACTGGTAAGAGATGAAATATAAAGCCTAAGGCAAGCAGGGACTACATCTGGTAGAACTCTTTAGGTCTTAGCAAAATGTTTATTCTCAGCACAATGGAAAGCCACTGAAAGACTGAGGAGAGAACTAACCGCTGTTTAGAAAGAAAATTGTAGAGGGATAAGAGTGAAAGCAAGGATACCAGGGAGGTAGATATTATGATATTTTATGTAAGAGTTCATAGTAGATTGAACTATGCTGTCAAACTGAAAATAGAAATTAATGGATTGAAAAAATGTACTGAAAATAGAACTACTAAGACTGGATGAATTAAATAGAAATGGCTGTTGCACTTGTTTGATCTTACAGAAGTTCAACCATTAAGTTGATGTTTACTATTGTTTTTTAAATAGATACTGTTAATTCAGACTCTGCCTCTAGCTTGGTAAGGGTTTTGTTTTTTGAAGAACAAGAAAGGATGTTAAAGTTCATACTTTTTTTTTCATCTGTTATTAAGTGATTTTCATTTTTAATCTCTTAGTATGATAAAATTTCAAGGTTTATTTTCCAGAGTTAAACCAGTTTTGCGTTTCTAGAATAAAGCAAACATGACTACGATACAATATTCTTTTTCCTAATAATTTACTTAGAATTTTCTTATTTATGATAGTGAGATTGGCATGCAATCTTTACTTTCTTGTACTGTATTTATCTATTTGTGCATGAGTGTGTAGAGAAATGGAGGCAGTTGCAAGAAAGGGTGCTTAATTTTCATTTCCCATGGTTTAATGCTAAAACTAGACAAATCGAAATTTAGCAATATAAACAATTTATCTAGACCAACAAGGCACATATAAAAATATGTACAAAGTGAAAGTGGTTGCTTTTGGGAAGGAGGAGTTTGGAATGCAGAAAGCTGCTGGTTTAAAAAGCAGCAATCGGTGTCTGTTTTAGCTATCTAATGGACAAGTTTTAATTTTAACCAGTAAAGTTCATATCATTCTCATCAATATTAGTACAGATTTTATCTTGAATATAAGAATTTTCTGGGAGTGTTAATTAAAATGCAGTAGTTTGAACTCCTTGAAGTATCTCATATTTTAGAGCTCATATATTTTTTCCTTCTATTTTTGGTCTTCTTAGAAAGTAACCCTAAAATCTCAACAGTGTTCTTATTTCCTCATAGATTGTAATTTTTCTTCCTTCTTATGTACCTTTTCTAATACTGTGTATTTATTTCAGGAAAAAAAGTTTTCTTAAAATATGGATGGGGTGTCTTCAGAGACTAATGAAGAAAAGTAAGTTCATGATTCCGTGTATCTAAAAACGTTATATTCTATTAGAGAATGATACTTTTCCAACTAGTAAGACCTGTTAATGAACTTCAGAAATATTTTTCCTTTGTGTTTCAGGGAAAACAAGAAAATATAATAAAGTGATAATATAAATTCATCAGAGTCAAAACTGAGGGACTTTAGATACTACCTATCATCTCTTGTTTTTTTGAGTAAGAGTGAGGAAACTGAGGCTCAGGAAGATTAAATGAATTATCTAAAGTTGGCATCACAAATTGGTGACCTGTTTGTAGCCTACAAACATTTTACTGGCCTACAAATTAAAAAAAAAAAATTGATTAGTTGCCAAAATTGCAAAATCTCATGGTTTCATAGAATAATTGGATTTTTAGCTTCTCTTGAAAAATCAAATGTGACAACACTGGAATCATAGTCTTGCTTGGAGCAGCTAGCAAAGTAATGGCTGTGACCTTTAGACCAAGCAGAAAATTTCTAATTCATTGTAGTCTCTACAATACGCATTTTCCTTATACCTAACAAATTATGTTTGGCCTCATGATATTTGGGTTTTCAAAACCTGATATATAAATCACACAGTAGTAAGAATCAGAGGCAGAGAATCTCTTGATTTGTAGCCCACTTATCTTTTTTTATTTTTATTTTTTAGTTGTCAATGTACCTTTATTTTATTTATTTTTATGTGGTGCTGAGGACCGAACTCAGAGCCTCACACATGCTAGGCATAATTGAGGCATAACTCCAAGCCCCCATTTATCTTTTAATTGTTCCTCTGTAGGTATAGTAAATTATGTTGTACTGGTTATTATTCAAGAGATAGTCTTGTAGTATACAATATATATTTTAAAACACTGAATTACTAAATACTTGGTCTTATACTGTAATACAAGTATAAAATTTTGCTGGCCAGAGCAAAAGAAAGCAATGGCCAGTTTTAAAGTATGTAAAGGGTGATGTGATGATGACTTTTGGAAATTCATTCTTTTACCTATGTATACATAATTTTTTTTTCCCTTTCTCAGTGACAATAGAGAGAGACCTGTTAGAAGACGGCATTCCTCAGTAAGAAACAATTATTATTACCTTTTATTAAACAATAATGATATACTACAATAATTTTTACTGTGGCCTGACCTTCCCACTTCCACTAGCTTCCTATGGATAAAGACTCAAAAAAAAATTATTCATTTGATACTAGGATTTGAACCCAGGAGTGCTCTAACACTGAGCTACATCCCCATCTCTTTTTAGATTTTATTTTGAGACAGGGTCTCACTAAGTTGCCCAGGCTGGCCTGGAACCTTGATCCTCTTGCCTCAATTTTCTGAGTCACTGGGATTATAAGTGTGTTCCACTGTGCCCTGCCAAGACTCAAATATTTAACCCAAGTACAAAAATCTGTAAATCAGTCTGGTGCAGTGGTACGCCTATAATCCCAGTGGCTCAAGAGGCTGAGATAGGAGAATAGGGAGTTCAAAGCCAGCCTCAGCAATAGTGAGATGCTAAGCAACTCAGTGAGACCCTGTCTCTAAATAAAACACAAAATAGGGCTGGGGATGTGACTCAGTGGTCGAGTACTTCTGAGTTCAATCCTGGTAGTATAAATAAATAAATAAGGGCTAGGGATTTTGCTAAGTGGTTAAGCACCCCTGGGTTCAATCCCCCAGTACCCCCCCCCCAAAAAAAAATCTGTGAACCAAAATTCATATTTTATAAATTTTATTATAATTTAATGCCTAAATTATACCTCAATAAAGCTGTTTAAAATTATATTTAACCTGATATACAAAGCTATTGCAAGACACAAAAATCTAACCCAAACTGATTTAGGTATATAATATATATCAGTTTATGAAACTGAAAAATCCAAAGATAGGGATGGCTGTAGGCATAACTTATGGATGAGAGAGTTCAACAATGGAACCTTCTAGGATTTCCTTTTTCATTTTCTATTCTGACTGCTTCCTCTGGGTAATCTCTGATAGCAGCCAGATCCTCTCCCTGTGATGACTGTGATACATCTAGCTCTTTCTACTCCCAGGTTCACATTCTGCCCCAGCCCCTTTTTAAATTTTGAAATAGGATCTTATTAAATTGTGGAGGCTGACCATGAGCTATCCATACTGCTGTCTCAGCCTCCTAAGTAACTAGGATTAAAGGCATGGGTCATGCCCCTCACCTCTATCAAACAATTATTGTGTTGTTCTAGACAAGGCTATGAGTTATATATACCCAGGAGTTGGTGTGGAACTTCACACAGACCATGTTGGATGAGAGTAGGCAAAATATTAGGGAGAGTAGGCAAGGAGAAATGAACAAATGCCTAATATTTTAATCTGCCACATAACTCTAAGCAATATGACTTTGAAGGATTTCATATATTTTTTTTTAAAGAGAGAAAATTTTTAATATTTATTTTTTTTTAGTTTTTGGCGGACACAACATCTTTGTTGGTATGTGGTGCTGAGGATCGAACCTGGGCCGCACGCATGCCAGGCGAGCGCACTACCGCTTGAGCCACATCCCCAGCCCCGATTTCATATATTTTAATGTAAATTTTGGTTTTCTATTCTTGCTATAAATTGAAATAAAGTGATTATTAACAGATATGCCAGATTTTCTTGAATAATTGTAATTATTCCTCTTAGATTTTGAAACCCCCAAGGAGTCCTCTTCAGGACCTCAGAAATGGGAATGAAATAGTTCAGGTAAGTCTCTAGGCAATTGCTTTATAGATTTCTCTTTTCAGTGATTCTCCCCTACTCCAAGTACTGGGTCTTACACATGCTAGGCAAACACTCTGTTACTGAGCTACAGCCCCAGCCCTTTTTAAAATTTATTTTTTTTAAAAATTTTGAGACAGGATCTCCTTTAGTTGCCCAGGATTACCTCAAACTTGTGATCCTTCTGTGTCAGCCTCCCAAGCAGCTAGGATTACAGGCATGTGCCACCACATTTGGCCTTCTATGATTTTTTTTTGTGTGTGTGTGTGGGGGGGGATTGAACCCAGGAGCACTCAGCCACTGAGCCACATTCCAAGTCCTGTTTTATTTAGAGACAGGGTCTCACTGAGTTGCTTATTACACCTCACTTTTGCTGAGACTGGCTTTGAACTCATGATCCTCCTGTCTCAGCCTCCTGAGCCTCTGGGATTACAGGTATGTCACCTGTAGCTTAATCAGGAATTTTATTTGCTATATGAAAAGAGAACATCATCCCATCTGATTCAAATGTATGATATGTCAAGGTCATTGTACTATCATGTGAAACTAATTAAAACAAATTAAAAAAAAAGAGAACATCATGAATGATTCCTATTTGAATGTGTAAAAAAGACAAGCATTCCATGACCTTCAGGTTAAAATGCAACACTTGCTGGCTGGGGATGTAGCTCAGTGGTAGAACACATGTAGCGTGCATAAGACCCTGGGTTCCATCTGTAAGATTGCAAAAAAAAAAAAAAACAAAAACCCAAATACATGATATACTGGCATTTGTGATTCTTAGGCCTATTTACTTTTCCAGACTTTTTTCTTGTTACTTTCACATGTTTACCTCACCACTCAGAATTGCTTATTATTCCCCAAACAAAAAATAAGTTATTACATCTGCAAGTATTTATGTATGCTATTCCCTTTGTCTGCATGGCTGGTCCTTCATTCCTTTTTCTGCCAAGATTTGAACAAAAATATTTTTTCAAACATACCAAAACGCAAAGAATTTTACTGTATATTCATCACCTAGATTCTAGAATTAACATTTAATAATGCTTACTTATCATAAATACTCTTTTCTCTTTGGTGAAAGTAGGGTACTAGGGGTTGAATCCAGGTGTGCTTTACCTCTGAGCTGCCTCTTCTCTGCCCCTCCCCCCCACACCTGCCCTTTATTTTTTTTGAGACAGGATTTTACCAAGTTGCTTAGGGCCTCAATAAGTTGCTGAGGCTGGCCTCAAACTTGTGTTCCTCTTGCCTCAGCCCTCCCAAGTTACTGGGATAACAGAAGTGGACCACATGCCTAGCTATATCCCCCTTCTTTATTTAATTAATTCCTATTTTTCCTTTAAGATTTATCTTCTCATAGAAGATCATCAATTTAACATTTTATTATTATAATTTTTTACTTCTGTCTATTCTAAATTGAGAATTCCAGGCTACATAATTCCAAGTGCTCACTCTGCATTGGCTTCTCTAATTCTGTTTCTTAAATGCATCAAGCTTTTCTTGCTTCAGGGTCTCTGCACACATTCTGCATAGAATCCTTTCCCCTTACTGCACTCCTTTTTATTTATTTTAATTTTGAGATAGGGTCTCACTAAGTTGCTAAGGCCAGCCTTGAACTTGCAGTCCTCCTGTGTCAACCTCCTAAGTCTCTGTCCTTTATCAACTTCTTCATCTGCCTAACTTCTAACTAATCCTTCAGGTCTCAAGTTAAATGTACTTTCTTAAAGAAAACTTCCCTGATTTTTACATATTTATTGGACACAATATCTTTATTTTATTTATTTATATGTGGTGCTGAGGATTGAACCCAGGGCCTTGTATGTGCTAGGCGAGCACTTTACCACTGAGTCACAACCCCAGCCCCACTAAATTAGATTTTTATATGTAATTTTCCTTTATAACACTTTGCACTCTTTGAATTTTATTTGTGTGAATTTGTTGTCATTAGTCTAATCCCCCATGGAATTGTATCCATGTTATTTATCTCTATTTTTCCATTAGTAGCACAGAATCGTGTGTGTGTGTGTGTGTGTGTGTGTGTGTGTGTATTTTTGAAAAATTGAACCAGTGTTGAATGAGTAAATGTCAGACTTATGCAGTTTTAAAACCAACAGGATCTTATCAGTAATCTTGAATTTAGTTCCTGCATTTTATAGATGAGAAATACAAGATCCAAAGAGGTAAATGTTTTATCTGTGGTGTTTGCTAGGGTCTTAAGTATATAGACTCCTTGTTGCAAAGGGGATACCATTCCTTATTATTTATTATAATAAGGCTTATACTCAGGTATCCACAATTTATCTGGTGAAATTCTCTGTGAATTTGTCTTTTGTTTTTTGTTTGGGGTCTATGTGAAAAATGTTTATTCTTGTTAAGAAGGAAGGTAGGAAAGAAAAATAGTATATTAAAATGAAAAGATGTTCAACATTACTGATTATTAGGGAAATGCAAATCAAAACCACAATAAATAAACCACAATACCACCTTACAGTCTTAGGATGGCTGTTGAAAAATAAAAAAATAACAAGTATCAGCAATGATATAGAAAAATGCACCTATGTCTATTGTTGATGGGAATTAAAATGATATTTGCTGTGAAAAACAGTATGGTAATTCCTCAATAAATTCAAATTAGAATTACCATATAATCCAACAAGAAACAAAAGGAACACCTTGGAGAGAGATTTGAGTACCTATGTTTGCAGTAACATTTTTCACAGTAGCCAGAAAGCAGAAGCAAACCAGATGTCAGTACAAGGATAATTGGGTAAACAAAATGTGGTATTTCCATACAATGAAATTTTTTAAAAAAGGAAAGCCAGGTGGTGCCTGTGATTCCAGTGACTCAGGAGGCTGAAGTACCAAGATTACAGGTTATACAGGTTCAAGGTTAACCTGGGCAACTTAGTGAAAGAACCTGTGGATGTAGTTCATAGCTTATTGGTAAAGCACCCCTACATTCTATCCCCAGGACTTTAAAAAAAAAAAAAGGAAATTCTGACATACCATGCATGAACAAAAGGTAATTTTTTACTTTTTAATGTTGAAATAGGATCTCATTAAGTTGCTCAGGGTCTCACTGAGTTGGAGGATGGCTTTGAGCCTGTGATCCTCCTGTCTTAGCCTTCCAAGTCACTGGGATTACAGGCATGTGCCACCATGCCCAATACAAAAAGAAAAATTTCATGTTATGATTTTAATGAGGTATCTACTATAATCAGATTCATAGATACTAAAAATAGAATGGTGATTGCTAGGAATTAGAGGTAGGAGAGAATGGGGAGTTTGTTTTAATGTTAAATGTTATAGTTTCTGTTCTGCAAGATGAAAAGAAATCTCGAGATTGGTTATATAACAGGGTGGATGTATACACAACAGTATTAAACTGTATACTTTAAAATCGTTAAGATGATAAATTTTATGTTACATGTATTTTTTTCATACTTTTAGTTGTAGATGGCACAATACCTTTATTTTATTTATTTATTTTTATGTGGTGCTGAGGACAAACCCTCTACCTCACACGCGCTAGGTACACACTCTAGGTACACACTCTGTCACTGAGCTAAAACCCCAACCCTTTATTTTATTTTTGAAACAGTATGCCAAATTGCTGAGACTGACCTTGAACTTGTGACCCTCCTGCCTCAGCTTCCCAAGTTGCTGGGTTAACAGGCACCATCATGCCCAGCAAATTTATGAAAATTTATTTAGGCATGGTGTTTCATGCCTGTAATCCCAACTACCCCAGAGTTTAGGCAAGGGGATCCCAACTTAAGAGCAGCCTTTACAATTTAGCAAGACCCAATCTGAAAATTAAAGATAAATAAATAAAAAGGACTGGAGATATAGCTCAGTGGTAGAGTGCCACTGGGTTCAACCCCCTAATACTATTAAAAATTTTTTTAAATTACCATAGTAAGTAACATAGCAATTGTTTTGTCTCCAGTCTTTTTTATTGAATGTTGTGTCGGTATGCTTAAAAAATAAAAAAATTAACTCACATTGAAGACGATATTCATGTACATTAAGTGTTTCTACATTGAGATAATTTGGGTAA